AGGCGCCTGCCACAACGCCCAGCTATGTTTTAGAGACTGGGGTCTTGTTTTGGCTCAGGCTGGTCTGGAATTTGTGAGCTCAGGTGATCCACCCACCTTGGCCTCCCAGAGTGCTAGGATTATAGGCGTGAGCCACCATGCCCAGCCCTTAATTTTTGCTGCTTTATTTACTGACTTATCCTAAGTACCCAGAAAAGTATCCATATATCATGGACTCCATATTTGTTGAATGAGTGAATGAATGAGTAAATGAATTCAGAGATCACTGGGGCAGACCAGGTGTGTGTCAGTGTCTAGAAGGGAAGGAGATGATGAATGCTCTAAGGTCAATCTGGGCAGAGGGACCCTAATTTGATCTTGATTCCATTACTTCTGGTGACCCTGTGTGGCCTTGTCAGGTAAACTGGGGATAACCCCCATCACAGACTGAAGATTAAATGAGGGAATGTCTGAAGTCTCTCACACAGGGCCTCCTAGTTGGTCAGTGCTCAGTATATGCATGGTCCAGGACGAAAGAAGAGAGGGGTTCAGGTGCAGGAAGTCCAACCTGGGACTTCAGTCAGCTGTGGATTCAGTAACACAGCATTCTGAGGACAGAGTCTGGTCAGCTCAGGGAAGAGGGGGAACAACTGCAGCTTTTTACCTGCAACTTCTCAAAGACTTTCTTCTTGGGCTTCAGCTCCTCATCTGGTTGACCCTTCTCATAGCCCTTCACAAATACTCGCTCACCAGGAGCAGAGCCTGCCGGAGGGTCCAGAGGTTCAACCTGGCGGCTCATCCCTTCTCTGGGAAGACACACAGGACAAGGACAGGGTGAGGCTATTGAGGTCAAAGCAATTTGGGCCTTAACATAGGAGCCCTGATGGGATTTAGGACATTCCTGAAATTGGAGCCCCTGGAGGTCCTCACTGCTTTGTGCTTTACCACATCTCTGGGTATCATCAGGATTAATCAGGGTTCTGCCAAAATCCTATGTCAGGAGCAATACCAAAATCTGGGATTTTAGGGGAGAAGTATGAAATAACACAGGAAGGGCTTAAAAGCCAATCAGAACTGGGTTTGAATCCTGGCTCCACCTCCTTACTAGTGGTAAGACTTGGGCATGTACGTATTTCTATTTTAGCAAAATTAACTGCAGGTGAAGTGCACCATTCATGGTACTTGTACAGTAACTCTCATGCATCATCTTTTGGTATCAGTGAGGCAGAGGCACGTGTTTTCAGGGCTGCCACCTGGCATGCGGAAAGGCATCAAACAGGCCAATTCCCCACTCTTCTTGGCCTCCCCAGGGTCTGTGCCCCACCCCAAGCCCTCACTCACATAGAAGCACACAGAAGCATGCCTTGGGACTCAACTCCTCTCATCTTCTGGGGTTTCAGATTGCACAGCACCACCACCAGCCTGTCCTGCAGTTCCTCCTTGGGCACAAACTGCACGAGGCCGCTCACCACAGTCCGTGGTTCAGCTTCCCCTACATCTATCTTCTCCACATACAGGCTGTCTGCATCTGGGTGCTACCAGCAAGAGACATCAGGTGGGAGAGTGTTGTAAGAGAGATCAGGGGCCTGGTGAATTCTCTGACTCCAGAAATGGGCATCCACTCCTCATAGAAGGCCCCCTTAGGGCTAAATCTCTTTCTGGGTGCCAGGCAGTAGACAGGAAAATGGACCTTGACAGTACATTCTACTCGCAACCAAGAGGCCAAATATGAGTTAAATGAACCTAAACACTGGTGTAAGAGATGGAAGAATCCCTAACAGGTTGGATGGCCTGGACTGTCTACGAGGCTACCATCAAGGCTCATGGGCTGCACCACATTGGTCCTAGGTGGGCTGGGAGATGGGACCAGGATAAATGCTGGCTTCCAGTTCTGATGTGGGAACATCAACAGCTATCTCAGGCTCGGCACCTGTGGCTCAATTGGCTAAGGCGCCAGCCACATACACCTAAGGTGGCGGGTTCGAATCCCCAGCCCGG